AGGTTTTAGTATTTTATAGGTTTCTTTTTGTGATGTTTCGGTCTCCACTTTATTACATTTATGTATATATGACGATTTTTAACGTTTTTTTGTTATTGTTTGTTCCTTCGATTTACAAGTTTAGCGTATCCAATTCAGTTATTTTATGTTAGTTTACTTATTCTATTTTATGGCTTTAGGTTGTTCTTAATTTCGTTGTTTTGATATGCGTTTGTATCCTATTGTCCATGTGTTTTATCAAAACTACGACAATAGTTTTGTTGTGGTTGGTGAATAATATATGTAAAAGATCCTTTATTTCTTTGAATTAAAAAGTCATCACCACCATCACATGGACTGAAGAACGTTCATCTCTTGATAAAATCCCATGTACTTCTGCTAATACAATGTTTGGGTAAGTTTAAGATAATCATCCGGTTTATCCCAAGCTAATTCTCCTAATACAACCTTTTATACCATCCTAATACAACGTTTGTATAACGTTTAAGGTAAGCATCCAGTTTATCTCAAGCTAATTCCCCTAATCAAGATGGACTCAGACCCACCTTATTGTTTGGGCTCATAAACAATCCCATTCGGCAGTATCTATTAGCAACCTACATCTCACAACTAGAATTCTTCAGCTCCACATGTCAATAGTACAGATCCGTGTGTGAATCCTCTTTATCTTCATGCATGCCGCAGAAAACTCCGGTGTATATCTTGTTGCGAATAAGTTCATGGCCATTCTTCTCAATGACCTTTTGGTCATGATCAAATTTCGTGATGACATTAGGATCATGCCTAAATACTTTTTATGACTTATTATGACCTTTCGATCATTATCAAATCTTGTAAGTTGTAATGCTCTTTAGGGTCATGCCCAATTATTTCTAATGACTAGTCAGTCACAATCAAAATTTTATATGACCTTCCGCTTATGATCAAATTTTAGTAATAGCCTTAGCGTCATAACCTGATTTTCGCAAAGACCTATAACAAAAGAAAAAATTATAGCGAGTACCTTTGTAGCTTCTCTTTTTTAGCTGCTGCTTTTGTAAGTAAATTCTGTTATTAGGTACTTAGCCTATACCGCAAATGATAGTAGTCTTCTAGAAATGTCACTTTTCTTTCTTCAGACAAATTGTCTAGCCTTTACGGTAGATGAATGTTGTCTTGTAGACTATTTAAGATGAGCAGGTAGCTTTCAGTCGCTTTAGAAACACATTTAGAGAATTCTCTGTTTAAGCCCTTAGCTTTAACAACTTCTTCACCGCATATTTTTGCATATCTTTATATTTTTTGTCTTAGTTGTTTATAATTTAATAGTCTTAACTAATAAATCAAAGGCAAACAATTGTAACCAAGCAATCGAATACTTAAAAAAATCGTAAGGACGTTTCTTGTTTTGTCTCATGGAACACAGAAAGAGTTTCTATTTTTTTATTTTTTTTGATAAAGCATGGGAGTTCTGAATCTTTGGCTCATAATCTCTTCGGTACCCAGAGAAAGTCTTTGGAAATTCCGATTTAAAGAATAACCCTACGTACCAAAGAAGATTTGAACCCAGGGCACAAGGAAACCAAGCCCCTTGTGTTACCACTAGGCCACCACATCTTTGGTTAACTTCCTTTTTTACGATACTGGTTTAGAGTAATCATGACACTTAAGAGAACTAATGAATAATCATAGAAGCTATTGCCGTTTAAAAATTTTTTGCCCTAATTGTCGTTTCTCCCAGGCACACAGCCCGAGGCGCCATTGGACGCTCAAGCAAGCACCAGAATGGGTCTTCGTCTCCGCTCGTCCGCCGCATATCCCCTCCTCTGAAGCAACGACATTGTTTTCTCCTCCGCCGATGCAGTTTCCGTCGCCCCCCGGATTGAAGCCCAGCCAATCTCAAGCTTCACCGTGACCTCTTTCCGTCGGTTACAGATTCTCCAACGAGATCCTTTGCCGCCGTTCATGTCGTCAATCACTAGGTCGCTTCTGTCGGTGGTCTCCACGCTAACGAAACCACATGATGGTATGAGCTCGCTCTCGCAGTGGCAAGACCTACCACCACCGGTGAAGTCTCAAGCTAAACCTCCGGACCCGCCGGACCCTCTGGATCTGCCGAACTAGTGTGACCCTCCACCTGCTCATCGAATCCCGACCACCATCGAATCCGCCATAGATCTGTCGGCTTTAACCGCAGTGATAAATCCAGAGAAAGTTTGTGTCACCTCTGAAGAAGGTGTTCCTCCTTTGGTATCTGGAGGCAGTTTTTGGAAATTCCGATTTAAAGAATAACCCTACGTACCAAAGGGGGTTTGAACCCGGGGCACAAGAAAACCAACCCCCTTGTGTTACAACTAGGCCACCACATATTTGGTTAATTTCC